ACATCGCGCGGCAAATCTCGCGATGTCGCGCAATATGCAAATCGCGCGACAAACGCGCGATTTGCATATCGCGCAGTGGGAACGGGGCCTAAGAATCCTACTATTTTCAGTGGTGCCTGTTCACACCCGAGTATTGCCTTTTACCTTGCAGCTCAAAAATAAGTACATGGGCTTAAATGGATGCACCGGAAAAAAGCATGTAGTGCAATTCTGCTGTGTGTTTACATTAGAAGGCTGGCAGGGTGCCAGGATTCTGCTGCCATAGTAAAAAAAAAAAAAAAGTACAAAAGCTGTGATTTCAGTGGCCCTGTTGTGAACCTTGAAGAATTTCTGCACAATGCCTGCAGCTACAGAGTTCATTGATAGCTTGTTTTAATGTTCTTAATCTTTAAGATGATGCAATACCTTTTTTAAAGGAGTGCTTTTCACTCACCTCATAGTTCTAGCCGACCTCTCTCAATGAAACTCACAGGTCGGCTCAGTAGATCGGGAGGTGAGCGAACACATACCGGCGTTCACTCATTTCTCCATCCTGTCACGGCTCTCTGCCGTGACGGGGGAGGAACTGGATTCCCCGCTCCGATCCGCCAGCGCTGACTGGCGGAACGGACGGGGGAGGGCGCGGGTACAGCTGGCTCTGCCTCTGGATAGGCAGAGCCAGCTGTCACTCACGCAGCTGGGCAGATCCAGACATAATTGAGCTTAGGGTGATGGGAGGACGCTAGTTTGTGTCCTACCGTTACCCTAAGGAGAACTATGGGGAAAAGCCCTAACCCCATAGTTCTCCTTTTAATGTCCATAGTCTGAGCAGAAATAATTCTTTAAACTGTAAAAAGAAAAAAGTTCCTCTTCCTTGTATTTATTTAAATTTTTCCTTCTCTAACCGCGGTTCTGGTCATCTCTTATGCTGAAGTATCTGATGTGTTTAGTAAACTTGAGATGCATTGTGTTTTTTGTATCGCCGGCCTGTCTGGTTGGCTGACTTTTAAAGAAAGCTTTATCCTTATTTAGTAGAGCACCGTTTGTAAAAAGGATATAGTCTTTGTATTGATGATTTATACATGCTTTTTAATTTAATTTTTTTTTTTTTGCAAAGAGGAACAAGAGCCCTACACAGTCAAAGCTGTGCCCCCTGCGTGCACAAAACACTTCTAAAGTATAGTAAACCCATTAATTATTTTAGAATTTGAACCTTTCATAATAGCAACTGGTGATCCTGTCATAAAGGTCCCTATTGGGCACTTCCTGTGACAACACTCTTCCCCGCTCTCCCATTTGTGCTCCTGCTTTGTCACCCTGTCACATGGGCTTCTGGTGGAGATCAGAAATGGCTTACCCAAGCATGGTCCACTGGTGTCACCATCAAGAAACCCATCCTGAGAAACTGCATGCAACCATTGCTGGAGTGCATGCAGGCAGGAAGTGGCTGTAAAGTTGCATCTCAACAACTTTGTTGCATCTCAGCAAAGCTGAGATGCAACAAAGGATGAAAAATTAAAAGTTTATTTAAAAAAAAAAAAAGGCAATTGTTTGTTAGTCATTCAGTTATAGCATTCTCTTTAGCACCCCACCAGCCTGACAGGTGGGGCATGACGGATAGGGGTCTTGCATGCTGTAACATCATCACATCCCATGCCTATCCCTCTATCCTCTAGCTTGGAGAAAGATACTTTCTGACTGCTGGGGAATATAGCAGCAGACCGCACAGGTCCCCTCCATCTTGTGGAACTGACAGCAGAATCTAGGAGACTTGCAACCATGAGAACATATCACTGGTCCTGCTAATGAGGGGGTGGCCCCGTACAACAAGTAACGTGGTCACTTGGCGATCCTGTGGATTGTGCGTTGTCACCAGTGACAGGATCGCTCATGTGATATGGGCTTTAAAGTACTCAACTGCAACTTTGGTTGCATCGGTTCATGATGGGCCATGTTTAATGTTTAGAGTTATTATAAGATGAATAATACAGTAGAGTCCCTTTTGAGATTTGTTTGAGAACCCCCCCCCCCAAAAAATTTTTTGTGCACCCCCCCCCCCCCCCAATATGTTTCTTGACTATGTTCCAAATGTTTGATGCCATTTTGGATCTTTTAAAGGCTGCTTGTCCCTGATTCAGCTAAACTGTGCCTTCCTTTTCTCTATTAAATGCAGGTGTATGGTAACCCATAGCGACCCAAGTAGACCTGTGCTTTCATTACAATCAGTCAAGCGTTCTCCAAATGTTTTGCCTGATGGGTCAAAGAACTAAAACTGCTCCTCAGCTTATATGAATGCTCTGCTTAAGTCTGCTGCTTATCAAAGTGTATGTGGGATTATGTGCCCTTTGTACTGTAGTGCTGGCCATACACGGCTTGAATTTTGTCTGATTGCTGCTAAATTGGCCAAAAAAAGATGAAATTAAAAGTTCTGTCCGTTACCCACGTTTTGTATTTTTCTTCTTTGTTACAACCCCCTTGTATTTGTCTTCTAGCCCTGAAGAAGGGAGATATCTTTGATTCCCCTGTAACGTGTTGGATGTTTTATGTCTTCCTGTTAGCATTAGTGTTTTTGAACTTTTCATTCCTTGGACTGGCACTTTCAAGACTCTCTCTGTCCTTTTTATCAGCAGTGGAGTCAGTCTTGATGAAGTAGGGTCTCCTTCCCTCCAATTATTTAGTTTTACATCATAGCTCAATGAAAACCAAAAAGTGCACCATTTGTGCACTGGCCAATAAGAATGTTCTCTTTCAGAATCCTATTTATCTTATTGATCGGACTCCAATAAAGTGAAACTTTACTTGCACATTGACCATCATCCTTTTGCATTTCATTGTCAGAGTGGCCTCCGGGCAGACAGCTAAGTACACATATGGGAACTGGTTTAAAGGTCGGTATGTGTAGTTCTGTTTAGCCAAACTTGTGATTTGCACACTTCTGTCCCACTACAGGAAGATGAGTCTATTTACCAGTCTAGATTTTCAGGTTCCTCTGTCACCATCCTGCTCACTTACAGCATGTCACCTATGTAGTAATACTCAGTCATTGTTCATTGAGGCGGAGAGGTGACACAGGAAACTGTAAAGCACACCTAGGAGATAGATTGGTCACTTGGTTGGCAGCGGTCTGTGAATTACAAGACTATTGGAACAGAATTACAAATCCAGTCTGATAACACATATAAATTGTAGGTAAAGCAAACACATTTGTGTTCTGGATGGGGTAGGGAAAGTTTTATGTCTATGCCCCCCCTCCCAATTTGTCCTGTTGACCATTGTCCCCAAGACAGATACCGTTTTTCCCCCAAAATAAGACACTGTCTTATATTTTTTTTGCTCCAAAAACACACACTAGGTCTTATTTTCAGGGATGTCTTATTTTTTTTTAATGCGCAACAAAATGTAGAACAATCCAAAGTTATCTGGTATCACTCCGCCTGTCACAGTAACCGGCGCTATTGAGGAAGTATCTGCTACCTCCGCCGCAGCCTTGCTTTCTAAAGCGCCGGCTTCCTTTTGCCATCAGGGACAGTGGTACCAGCAGTGCAGCAGTGGGGACATCAGACAGTGGACAGCGCGGTAAAGTAGTACGGTACCATTTACCGGTACAAATTACAGTAAAGTACCATTACATTAAGCAGTGCCTTCAGGACAGCAGTTGGTGATAGAGGTGCACCAAAATAGAAATTTAGAAAACGAAACCGAAATAAAAAAAATTGTCAGACCGAAACCAAAAATGTTCTTTTTATTTTCATTTTTTCAAATATTTTTTATAAACTTTTTTTTTACATTTATTTTTACTTATTCATTTTTTATTATTTTTATCTTTTACTTTTAGGGGCTTTGGGGAAATATTCAGGGTCTAAACAGATCCCTGATTTTTGCCTTTTTAAAATAGAAAAAGAGAATGAGAACACTGAGTCCTCAATCTCCCCAGTTATCAATGAACAGGAATCCTCTATACTGAGTGTTCCTGTTCATTGATAACATGAGGAAAGAGTATGATTACAATAACCACAATCATGAATGAACAGGAGGTGATGTAGATCACTTCCCATTCATTCATAATTGAGGATATAGTCAACATACCATGCCCGCAATTATTTAACAACACTTAGCGATCACTGAGTGCTTCTACCTCAATCTCCTCTCTGACACGCTGTCACAGGCTGGGAGGGGCGGTGCGGGAGGAGAGCTCAGCCTCCTGTGACAGTGCGGGCTGTCTCCACCCCCATCCACCTGCCGGACTGTGATAGGCGGCTGAGCGTTGTGGGAGGAGAGACACCAGCCTCTCACAGCGCTCTCCTCCCTCAGCGCTCAGCCGGCCGTCACTTTCTCTCTTCCCCACTGGGACACAGAGCAGCGCCCAGCGGGGAGGAAAGAAACCTGGGATGCGCCAATGTGTCGGCAGGAAAATGGCACTTTCGGCATTTAGCCAAAAGTGCAATTTTCGGCCGATATGTTTCGGCGGACGATATATCGGTGCATCCCTAGTTGAAGTATGTTACTGGAGTGCTCCCTGTCACTGCGCTGGCCTGAGGGAGTCACCGGTCATCCCCCTTAATACAGTATGTCCCTGCTGGCTGATACCATCTCTCCAAACTAGGTCTTATTTTCAGGGTAGGTCTTATATTACAGGAATCTTAAAAAATAGTCCTAGGTCTTTCGGGGTAGGTCTTATTTTCGGGGAAACGCGGAAATCCAAAATACCGCCCCCACCTTCCCCAAGAAGAGCAATCAAGGGTATGTATTCAAATGGGGACATCTGTTCTGTGACAACTTGGAGGAGAGTTCTCTTCACTTGTTGAGACTTCCTCTTGCTGTCTGTTTCATTTTTGGGACAGGAAATAGAGGGACATCTCCCCATCGGAATACACAGGAAAAAAACAAGCTGATAGGGATAGAAAACATATTTTGTACATCTTTGCATTTACATCTCCTCTTGTTTTGTCTTTGTGTCCTGACCTTCTTTTATGTTAACGATTTTTGCTAATTTTGTCCTTTTTTTGTTATACTGGTTTCAGGCACGGCGCCAGGACTGCGAGGGCAAGATGGCGGTCACCCTGGATAGCATTCGGAAAATGGGATTTCTTATTTTGAAAATGATCATCCGATTTACCTTCATGTTCGTCAACAACATGTTTGCTATTCCGTCCTATGTACTCTATTTAATAGCTCTGCAGCCTGTCAGACTGATAGACAGTAAACTGTTCTGGTATATTGAAGGGGTCATGTTTAAATGGCTCCTGGCTATGGTGGCATCATGGGGATGGACTGCTGGGTACACAGGTAAGTCAGCTTTTGACCATGGATCTTTCTCACTGTATAAAAATCATGTACTCTGGATTTGGAATCTTTACATCCGTACTTGAACAGCAATTGCTGTAACAGACTGGAAAACAAGGTTAAAATGCAAGATCCTATGTGTTGGCTTTCGTATAACCAGTTGATTGACTTTTAAGTTGACTGTGCACTATGCAGTGGTTCCAGTCAACACTTGGGTTGTGTGTTTTTTGAAGGAGAGTATAAATTGTGTATTGGAAACTGACATAAATCAGTGTACTTTTGCAGACATATTCTGCTCTTTGGTTGCGTACAGTGAAATGGTTGTGATATTTAAAGAACACAGTATGCTCATTCGCTTGAACAATTACGTAAAGATCCTGTATATCCATGGAGAAGGAATTTCCCAGTTTTCTGTAAGAATAAAGGTTCAATCACTAACCAAATGTGAAGTTTAAGCATGATCGGAAATCTACTCACTGTTCTCCTTGCTGGAGATAGAACTGTACCTGAAGACCCACATTACAAGGATCTCCCTGCTTTTGTTTCATTTGTTCTGTGGATGTGTGATTCCCTACACCTCTCCTGTTGATACTTGATTGTTCTTCCATCAGCCAATAGATCTTCAGGGAGGGCAGCTTTGATATGAGGAAGCAAAGCCCCATTCCGCTACTAAGATGGATTTCACCACAACGATACATGGTGTTTAACTAGGCATGGACCTCAGGCAATATTGGTGATTAGACCTTTGCTTTTTTGGGGGCACAGCTACCATAGTTCCAGTCCCCTTTAATAAGGAAGCCCAGGTTAATAGTAAGAAATGCAGCTTAAATGTGGGTATGGGTATATACTGTATGTGTATTTGTATATAGGAAAATATCCCTCCCGTTGTGATGGAAATAAAGTTAAGTTAAAAACATGAATATTTCGTAAAATTAAAAAAACACCCCACAAATTTTTCAAAAGGCCCCCATGTACACATGCAAACAAACACGTGTGTTTGATGCCCACTTGTACAAAAACGACGATTGTTCCGCACTTATTGGGTATCACCGTGCACGCTGGAGAGATAAATTGAAGATCTTTTAAGTGCCGCCCATGGATAATTTTGAGTACTGTAGTGTTCCGCTGGTTCACAGGTGCACTTAGTTTTGAGACTAGACAGATTTGGTATCTATTTACTCTATGCAATCTCATCTTTTATATTTTACCACAAAATATTGTGTATTAGAACAGAATACAGTGTGTAATAACAGTAGCCCAATTTTCGTGTGACATAAATAATTGCAACTGTCAACATTCTATTTATTTTATTATTCAACAAGGCCTCTGCTTCCAGGAAATCCAGTTTTTTTTGGTTTTGTTTTTAGGGGAAGGGGGGTTGGAGTTGAGTATTCTGGCCTAAAATGTGCATTTTAACGTGCAAAATAAAAAATAAAGGTTTTGGCATTCTTGCACCCCA